ATTATATAATAAAGTTTTAATTAACTTGCCAATTATTATATTTTATATAAGTGTGTATTATTTTAAAATAAATGTTTTTTTTTTAAATGAGCTATTTTCAAAATAACACATATGGATGTTATTTCATGCCTATATAGTATGAACTATTGAAGCTATGCAAAAATCAATTTACATTTCTCTATACTGCTTGGCATTCTTAGCACCTATATGATCTGTGACCCTATATCAATTTCTGCAACCATGTTTTTTAATATATTTTATTAACTTTTTATCATCCCCCCAAAAAAAAATTTTTTTTTAAAAAAAATCAACACCTTAATTATCTTTGTTTGAAATAAAATATGCCTTTTATCTCATTTGTAAATCTAGGCATCGCTTTGACTATAAAATACAAAAGAAAAGGTTTTTTTTTTTACAATCAAATGTTTAAAGATTTGCTATTTATATTTTAGTTCTTCAGAGAGGGATACTGTTCTGTGTGTGACTTAAATGTCAACTCACACTGAGTACTAAAAACCTTTTTCAGTCATTATTATTTAATATTTTCTAAACTTTGATTCTAATCAAAAATTCTTTTAAAAATATTAATTTTATGCATCTTACATAAACTATATAGTAGCCATCATAAAAAATGCACCACTTAAGTAATTTGATTTAAATTAATTATGTTTTACTAGAAAAAAGATAAAAATTTAAACTAATTTATATTTAAATATTTAATAAGCTACATTATTTATTTATATAAGTTTTTTTATTATTTAAAAATAAATTTATAAACAAAAAACATAATTTTTTGAATTTTGTTGGTGTGATTTTTTTGACACTTTTTTTAAAAAAAGTTTATTGGTGAATATAACATATACTAGTCTATTAAATTTTAAAAAAACTTTATAATTATTCATTACCAATCTATATAACTTTCCCTAGTTACAATAATATCTTTAATTCTATGTGACATAGTTTCAATTAACTTTCTACAAAATTCTATGTCAATTAAATTCCATATATTATTAACCGATTTCTATAATTGTTCTATATAATTAATTTCTATTTCTAAATTATCTAATCTGCATTCTATTTCATTCCAAATATGTTCTATAGGGTTTAGGTCTGGTGAATATGGTAACCAATCTAATGTTTCTATATTATTTTTTTAATCCAATTACTAGTATATTTGGATTTATATTTAGGATCATTATCATGTATAAAAATAATATTATTTTTATCTAATTCGTAATATTCTAAAGTTTTTATAAATTTATCTGATAAAATTTCTACATAAAGTTGTGAATCTAACTTTTTATTGATTCGACATAAGTACCTAAGACCTTTCCAAGTTATACATCCCCAAATAAAGATAGATCCATCACTAAATTTAACAGTTGATGACTATTAATTTTTTTACCAGGTCTTTTCCAATAAAACTCTTATCTATTTGAATTAATTGATTGAAATTTTGACTCATCTAACTATATAATTTTGCCCCAATCTTCTGCTAACCAATCCTTATATTTTTTAGCAAAATTTAATTATGTTTGACAATGTTTTTTTGTAAATAATGGTTTTTTTTTCTTAATTCTAGCTACTAAATCATATTCCTTTAATATTCTAAATATTGTAATATGACTTATTTTTATACTATTATCGATAAGTAATTTTTTTGAACTGAAATTGCTGTTGAACATTCACTCTGTAAAAATTTTTGCACACATTTTTGCTTTTTTCATTTGGATAACTTGTAGGGTCAACCAGATCCAGACTTTCTTTTAATGCTACCTATTTCTTCAATCTTTTTTTTAATTGAAGAATAGTAGAATGATGTATACCAAGATGGTTTCTAATATCACACAATAAATATCCTTCTTTGATTATTATTATAGCTTGAGCTTTTTGTTCTATAGTTAATTGTGATATTTTTAAATTAATATAAAAAGTATAATTGCTAAGTTTACTTTTTATTAATTATAATTGTAGATTTGAAAAAATCTAATGGCAAAAACAAAATATACAGATATTTATACAAAAAAATAAAAAAAAAATGCACCATTGTTTTCTAGAATAATTAGACAATTCTCACTCATTATTTAATAAATTTAGTTAAGATATATTTAATTATTTACTAAATATAGTTATCAATAATATTATACAATTTTTAAGAACATTCAAAACTTTATTTCAGAAATAATAATCATTTTGATTAGCATACATGCATGGTGCATTTTTTATGACAGCTACTGTATCTTTGAATAAAAAAAATCAATAAGATTTCAAATTAAATCAAATAATATACAGGTTATTACAAGTTCAGCATGCAGTAACATAAAAAATAAAACCAAATGCAGTAATTTTATTAGATTATCTAGAGGACACAATGTGTATTTCAGAGATTTACTTCGGGACATAGGCTCTATTGTATAATATTGTCTCTATATATTAACAATAAAATTGCTCATTAATGTTGATATCTAATTATTTTTTGTACTCTGTAGCACAAAATGAATAATTTATTATATAACATCAATTAGTTTAATATGTCTTTGATATTAAATTTATTTAAATATCACAAGTTTCTAACTTTTATTGCAATTATTGACATGAAACTTCTTTTAGGATTAGCCAGTCCTTTATTTTTTTACATACTATTGTATTAATTTTCTTATATTTTTATCACTACTATTATTATAAGATAGTCTTATATAAATTAAGATCAAAATCAGACAAATGGGGTAGCTAATAAATAAGATAAATTAACATTATTTAAGAATAATTATCAGCATGATACAGTTTTTTTTTTTTGTTACCAATAAGAATCTACTTTGTGAAATTAATTTCTAATTAATTTTCTCATAAAATTTACTATTACATAACTTGAAAAATAGAAGTCATTTGTTACATATGATATTTTATGAATGTGATATTTTGCTTTTTTTTATTTTCTTTGTTTTGTTTTTTATTTATTACAAAAACATCAATAACCATACCATATTATAACTAAATTATCGGGTTATTTCTTTTTAAAAGTAAAATAATAAAGTTAAATCAAAAGATGTAGCTTTTATTTATATTTTACAAGTCATATTGAATTATATACTGTATATAGCAAAATAATAAGATCGGACTTGATATATTTTATTTGAAAATTATTGCTTATGTTTTTTCAAATGTTGCAATATTTATGTTAATCTATTGTTCACGGATTTAAAAAACAATATCAAAAGTAATGTGAAATTTTCAGGAAAGATTGATTGGTTCGAATTTCTCTTTTTTATTGACTCATTCGAGAATTTTTTTTTTTTTTTTTTAAAAAATGCTGGCTCAGCCTTACTTTATTTGAAATATGGTGGGTATGTATATATATTGTAATATCTACCTATGCTTATCAAATGAAGTTCAATAAAGAAATAGTCTTTTGACTGTACTTACCTTGCGGCTTGTTGCCACTTCATTTTGAAGGAAGCTAACCTATCAAGGTTGGGCTAATACTGTACAAAAATTCCAGGATAGTGAAGGGTGTGATTATATTTTGGATCGTTTTGTTAATGTATTTATTGATTAGATATACAAATTGATCTTTGATATAGTTCTCTCTTTCTTTGAGCCATGGCTCGATTTCATGTTTGGTGTATTTGCTTTTTTTCTCCATCTTTCTAGTGATGCCTTGTTGTGCTTTCCGGAGTTGAAATTCTTCACAACGTTTTTTCCATATCTCTTGAAAATAGTTTGTGATATTTTTTTTTATTTCTATATAGCAGTCATGTTTGTGTTGTTTTCTGAAATTGCTTTGCAAATAATTTGAGTTGTTTTCTTGAGGAAAGCTCTTTGATTGTACATTTCAGGTATCTCTCATAATAAAGTGATGTTTTTTCCTTGAGTTTGTTTATCCATTCTGATGTGATAGTCTTGTTTGAATGTTTTGTGATACTTGTGCTGATGCTATTGATTATGAAGTGTTTTATCCTTTTTCTGTATGTAGTGCAGACGAACGGGTATATATTTGTCTTTATTTCTTCACACTTTATACACAAGTTGTCTTTATAGATTGAAGGTGCTCGGTGATGTAGCTTAGTTTTTGTGGGCAGTTCTTTGTTCCATAAGCTTAGCAGAAATCTCCCTTGTTGTTTGTCCTCCCAGTTTGTCGTGCGATTGCTCATTTTGATGATCTAAAGGTATTTGAAGGCGGTAGGCCAGTGAATTTTCTGAATTAAGTGATCATCAAAATTGTTTTTGGTTCTGTTCAAGAGCCTCCATTTAGCTAAGCGAACTGCTTGTGTAATTTTCTTAGTTTTTTTTTTTTTTGGTATTTTCAAGTCTTGTTTATTTCATTGTATAGCAAAATGTATTTATTTTGGAATTTTAGTTTTGTATGTGATGTTTCTTGTGTTAGGTTTCATCCCTCTATGTTGGCCAATTTCTGCCAATTGATCTGCGAATTCATTTTGTATGTTTCCTGCGTGTGCCTGGACTTTGAATAGTTCCAGCTTTATATTTCTTTGTTTACAAATTTCTTTGATTAGTTGTAGAATGTTTGAGTTTTTTTGTTTTTATAGTGTTGCGTGGTGATGAGCTTGTTAGTTTTCTGAATACAGTTGATGACTACCATGCTGTCTATATATATTTGTGCTCTGCTGTAGTGGGGAAGAGTTCTAATGGCTGTGAGGATAGCCATTAATTCTGCTCTGGTTAAGGAGAAAAAGTTTTGAACTTGGCCTTGGAAATTGAAGTGTCTATTGTCTCTGGTTGTTAAGGTCCATCCTATTCCCATGTAGTATTGTCTATTCTGCCAGCTCATAGAGCCATCAGTATATATTTCGAAGTGCATGTCATCTCGGAGCTCTTGACTGATGTCATAAAGTTCTTTAATGATTGATTCCTCTGTGTTGTAGAGATTGTATATATATTTCTGTATAAATTCTTCTTCAATGCTTTCAATTTCTGTGTTTCCATCCCTTCCTTTCTGGGGACTCATTCGAGAAATTAATTGAATTATCAATAGATAATCTCTATAGTATTGCCTAAAGAATTAACTAAAGAGATTATTGTGACCAGATATTTAGGAAGAACTGAAAGATAATCCTACTTTTGCAATTAAAAATATCCGTTTCTTTTATGAGTAAATGATATACTGTATTATCTTATTTTTTTCATTCACAAAAGAATATTTACAGACTGAATGTGGTTATTTTAAACGATTGTTGAAAAATTTTTTTTTACAGTAATTGCAAAGTCTTAAAATTTTCGATAAGTGGCCGTATGTTCAGTTATCAACTTATAATTACATAATATAAATATGACACATTGTTTTCGCACAAATTTATATATTGCAACCAACTAAAATGATAATAAAGAATGTTGCGCTACCCATGCCCAGAGAAATGTATCGTAATCAATAATTTCATCTCATATCTTTAGCATGTTATAGGGAATTCACAGCTATACTTAAAAAATATATCATCTTTAATGATTTCTTATTTATCTATTCTCCTTTGTATGAATTAACTCCTGTTATGAAGAGTACACAGCTGTATTCTATCCACAAATTAAGAGAAGGGGGAAATTGTACATTTGGAATATATGCACCTGTGCTTAATCAACAACACAGATATGTAAAAAAACACTTAAATACATAATGGTAAAATTAAAAAGGTAGAGAAACTATAAACTTGAAAAACTAATCATTACTTATAACCTAGATCGACCTTTTGGAAAATTCAGTATGCGTATAATTATAGCAACTAACTGAGTCTGAAAAATCATTTATTAAGTCTTTATTTTTAATTATGAATGGTTAAGAATGATTGAATTCGCAAAAATATATGTTTAGTCCTACGCAAACCATGTTTTGAATGGTCAATCCCTAGAAAAAAAGATATCGTAACTTAAAAATTTTCAACTCTACAATTTTTTATGGATTTTTACGTTAATATTTATAGTAAAAGAGAACTTTTGGTGCTACTACATTATTTTAAAACCTGGGAAGTCTAACCTTCTCTCTATTCTTAAATATCTAAATAAAGCGCATTCACAACAGCTTCATCTTATATCATAATTACAGAGTAAAAACTATGAAAAAGGTTTTAATTCTATACACGAGCATAAACTCTAGATAAATGTTGGAAGCCGAACTCGAAATGGTTATAAAAATAGTTCGACAATGATGCACTCCGAATAACTTACTTCAAAACGATCCGCTCCTGTCACATACAGAATATGACGAGAATAGTAGTTATAAATTGACAGAATGTCCATATCCTCGAGATGTACAGACGGGTGACACCGCATTAGGGCAATAGCAAAATAATTACACACAAATGAAAATCTAAATCATAATAATAAAGTATTAGTTATATACTTACATAATAGTTCGTAATAATAAAAAATTTTTCTTTTTGTCTCGTTTATTTATTTAAATAAGTATTGATATGAAAAATTTGTACAATATACAAAAATGGGTCGTAAAAAAGATTTGACAGAAGAGGAATGTCACACGATAAAGACACTTAAAGAAGGCATGTCTTGCACGAAAATTTCCCGAATAATTAGATGATCTGTGATGATAGTTAAAAATTGTTTGGTCGATGAAAATTAACCAACCATACAAGTTACTTAAAAAGAAGAAATAGTAGACACAAACCAATTATTGATAAATATCTTGAACATCGAATTATAAGAGAAATTAAGATTGATCCATCATTACGAAAATTGCCAAAACATTTACTTACTACTGAAATTTCACATAGAACTCAAATCCCTATGTCTACACGTACTTTAATAAGGGCATTAAAAAGAAATGGTATAAAATCTTATGTGGCACGTAAGAAACCCATGATAAGTGAAGCTAATCATCAAAAACATTTAAAATGGGCTAAAGCACACAAGAATTGAACTAAAGAAGATTGGAAACAAGTTTTGTGAACCGATGAATCTTCAATAAGTACCAATTCAAGTGGAAAAAATAGAATTTGGTGTCATAAAAATGAACTTTATGATCCAAATTGTACACAAGCTACAGTTAAAAGTGGACGCAAATCAATTATGGTTTGGGAATATGTAAATGGATATGATTTGCGTCATTTAATTCACACTTCATCTAATATAAAAGGAATAGAGTATGGAGATCTTATTTTGGATATTGTTTATTCAATAATTTTATCTACTGAGGGGACAATCTTTAAGAAGACAACGCACCAATTCACAAGTGTAAACTTGTGCAAGAAATGAAGTCTGAACTTAAAATCAAGACAATAGAGTGACCCCCACAATCACCAGATCTTAGTCCTATTGAAAACATATGGAGGGAAGTCAAGATCTGGATCTACGCAAACTGAAAACCATATAACAAATCTGATTTAGAAGAGGCAGTTATTACAGCATAAAATAGTATTGCATTCGATAAAATTAAGAAATTTATAGATACTATGCCTAAACGTGTAAAAGAAGTAATTAAAAAGAAGGGGCATGCAACACATTGGTAGTTTATTTTTTTAGATATAAAAAATAAAAAATATGCGTAGTAATTTTTTTGCGTTATAAAAATCGCCTTAATGCGGTGTCACCCGTCTGTACATTTTCAATTTATTTTCTGAGTATAATATAAAAGAACATATACACGAAAAAATCTTTATGAATAACTTCACACTACCAACATATCAACAAGCTTCTTGTTCGAAGTAAACAATCTTTTTCCCCATTTGAAAAATGACAACGTCTCATTGTCTATATTAGTCTCCCTTTTTGAAAGCCACTCTTGAACATAATTTTTATCAAAGTTTTCCGGGATCGCCTGGAGGTTCGTCTCACTATCTGGAGCTCGGAGAGAATATAAGCGACAAGCTTCAATAATAGGCGATGCCTTCCTTTTAACTCTTTCGTAATGCATTTTTTTTGGTTTTTCCTGATGATCTTGAGCGAGCATGGTCAATTCGTCAGTAAGAAGCTGAAAGAATCCAGCAATCTTCGTTATAGACTTAACAAAATTTTCGATGGAATAACTTAAAGGATCTCGAATAGCCTCAATTGCAGCAACCGTAAGAAGTTTTTCTTCAGATGCTGCAACTGCCCTCACTACATCCTTATCGCCTCCACTAATAAGAAGCGGAGTTGCAATCAAGTTAACAACTGGGACAAGAATTAAACAAACGGCCCACGCATATTTTGTTCCAGATGCCTTTAAAAATTCTTTTTTTCTTTTTTCAAATTCGTTGACTTCTAATTCCAGTTGCTTTAAAACTATTTTCGCTTTGTCTTCTTTTTTCTTAAATTCGACGAGGATGGCTTTATGAAGTTCACATGTAAATTTGCAAACATCAACATTATCTTTCGCCTCATCAGCCAAATCAGCAATATACTCCTTGAACTCATCGAAGCTAAAAAGCAAATAATTTTCGCAGAATTTTCGTATCTGCAAAACAACGGCGTTCGCGAATGGCAGGATTTTGTGGCTATATACCCTCGCTTCATTAGTAACTTCAGAGCGAAGGTCGACGAATGATTTTACTGAAGACGCATTATCAATAAAACAAGCGCGGAGAGATAAACTAGCAAGATTCAGCATCTCTCCGGCATTCTTAATTTCTTCTGCAACATGGTCAAATATTTTATCCGTTTGTTCCATGATTTTTTACAAGGTGAAAAAAATCCGCGAGAAATGGGATGAATTTATTGGAAATATCATCGTTAAACAGTTCCTTATTTTATAGTTCGATAGTTTTGAAAAAAATAATGGCAGGAAAAATAGAAATAATTGAAATTTTTAATATAGAATCAATGAAATTTTTTAAAAATAGAAATAATGATTTAAACCTTTTTTTCGTTATTATTTTGTATTTAATCAAATCTGGAGGTGCAGACACCAGAACATAAGTAATCAAATCACTAGCCAATGAATGAAATGATCACGCGAATACTGTAAGTTATTTAAATTAATGATTGTAACTGTACATAAGTTGACGGAAGTAGTACTTAATATTCAATTAACCCTTGGTATAATGGACCCCTTTAAAAGAACTTCTTATTATAGCGTAATGTGTTGCTCTATTATTATTATAAATGATAGAATTTCGATAACGAGGCGAGTGAACCACGTTAAATAATCACAATACAACTATACTCATACACGGGAGGGCGAAAGCTATGCAACGCCTTTTTAATCCTGAATTTATGCTAGATTCACGTAAGGGGTGATGAAAATATTTTTAAAGTTTCAGATACTGATAGTAATGTTACAGAAAAGACCTAAAGTAGGATGGCAAAAGGTTTTGTCAATTTAAGGTTTTGGTTTTGTCGAAACTAGAAATTGTTCTAAAAAAAACCAATTAACGAAAAATCAAGATTAAGTTAAACGTACAGAGTATATTCTAGTTATTATACAGTATATTAATAAACTCGTTTTTCATAAGTAATTTTAATTACAGAAAATTTTCTATTAATTTTTATTATTTTGTAGTGGTTTTTTTTAAAAACATTTTTTACTAATTATTTTAATAACCCTTCTAAAGTATTGTATTCTTAAAGTTCTATACTTTGTATTTAATAATATACAATACTTTTATTAAAACACTTTGTAATTATCTGCAAGATATTTTCATATTTGATTTGTCTTTTTTTTTTGTTCTCTGGTTGACTTGAATAGTAATTTCAAATAAAATATAATAAAAGTAGAACTTGTATTTCAAATAGTAATAAAGAACATTAGAAAAAAAAACTTGAAGATTTTATTTTATTTTTTTTAAATGTTAGCTCATCCTTATATTATGATATAAATGTTTTATTATAGTAAAAATAATATTTAGAGACAACTAGGATAAATAATTATCTGTATTGTCTAGGAATTTATAGATCACCAAATAATACAAAAAAGCAAACTATTTATGTTTTATCTAATCAAGATAGAATAATTATATAACTTTTTAGTATAAGTATTCTTCTTATTATAATAAAACTTAGAGAAATAGAAAATATAATAATATTATATTATATTTAACTATTTTAAGTATTACAATAATTTCTAAAGCTTTAATTTATCAGATAACTTATTATTATTTCAAAAAAAAAAGTTAAATATTAAGAATTTACCTGAGTTATTTAATATTACTAATGTGAAAGATTTTTTATATAAAACTTTAATTCTATTAATTCTTAATTAATAAATTTTTAAATATGGAAATTGTATTCAAGTTTTATTTCAAGAATATAATATTGAAACTAGATAAAATATATTATTTCAATAAGTAAGCAAAAGTATTAAAACTTTTTAAAAAATATTAATTCTTGTACTAATAATTATATTTATTAAATAAAAATAAAAATAAAATAGATTATTATTTATTTAATATATTCTAATTCAGATTGATTTTTTTTTATGCATTTAATAATATAATAGATTTAATATTTTATATACAGACTAATTCTTTAATTATATATAAACAAAAAAGTTTTTATACTTTTATATTAATTAAATCTTATTATTTCTTTAAATTAACTTGAAAAAAACTTTAAAATTTATTTTTATTTCTCTTTTCTTTTATTAATACTTTTTGTTAAAAAAAGTAACTTTAATAATCCAAAAATTAAGTTATATCTTTTTTACTAATAATAAAAAAGTTTTAAAAAAAGAAAAGTTGAAATATTGGTTTTATTTATTTATTAAAAAAATATTATGAAGATATTATTATAATAAAATATTATTTATGGATAAGTAATGGTATACAGAAGCAGTTACAGATTTTTCCCTATAAAATATAAGAGGAATTATAATCAAAACAAGCAAAATTTCAGCTTCTGGCCCTCACAAATTCCATATATAGCATCACAACACCTGGATTCCAAGACAATCATGAAAGTTAAAAACATCTTCAACATAATTTTCCACTTTGGTTCAATGTTGTATAAATGAAAAAAAGTCACTATATACTCGATTCTAAAGACATATGATTGAATAATGACCTAATGAACATCAAACCCATCACATTTCTAGAATTAATCAAGAAAATATTTATGAAAGAAATTGTAAATAGGCTGTTTAATATATCCACAAGATATAAAATTCTGTCAAAACACAACTAGGCTGCTCTACTAGAATAAATACAATAGAACCTATCTTTGAAATAAATACAGTTATTAAAAATACAAGATAAAATAGCAAAGAATTGTGAATTCTTTCTAGGACATGAGTAAAACATACAATAATATAGATTTAAATATCCTGGTCAAGGCTATGAAAAGAATTAAAATCCTAGGAAGACTTACTGACCTCATTATGAAGGGCTTCAAAGATAGAAGAAATACAGTTATCACAAATATAGGAATTACAGACTCATATGCAGGGTCAACAAAATATAGGAATACAGAAATCTAACAAAACATAGAATAGAATACAGCTCATCACATTTTGAAGTACCACAAATACTTCTGTCATAGCATTTATAGAGGACATGAAATGAGTAGTTGGGAATCAGAATTAATTAGAAACTATTCTAAAGATTGCCAACTCTTTTTATAGCTTCGCACAAGTTAAAGTCAATTTGAATAAGTCTGAACTACTAATTATTAATAATAAAAAAGAGTCAGAAATCACATTTGAGTATAATATTATCGAAACTACCAAAAAGGCAGTTTGATACCTAGTAGTATGAGTCAACTGGAATAGAAAAAAGAAGTATCAAATGAATTTAATTGATTAGATAATATCAAATCTTACTAGCCACTTCCTTTGGAAAAAAATAATAGACAAACAAATCCAATATTTAATTAATTACATAATCTTGCCAAAAATAAAATACTTAGCATAGGACCTATGCCTTCTGGAAGTCAAGACTAACAATATAGATAGGAAATTTGAAAAAATCATTAAACACAAGGTAGGCTTTGCTATCTCAGCCCCAAACAATATTTTTCATAGCAATTTGGAATATATTATCTTTAGCTTTAAAGCATATATACTATAAAAGCATATTATACTATTCGAAAAACAACATATAGCAACCAACTATGCAGGATAATTATATAGAAAAAGGATAATAAACCTTCAATAGGTGGTATAGTTAGACATAAGTATTTTGAAGATATACCTAAAATATATCCAACAGGTACAAATTTCTTACAGGACATTTTTATCAATACACAAAAACAAGGCTTCACCTTTAAAAGCTTAGAACAAGTGAACAAACTGACAAAGCATAATTTAACATTACTGAAAATACCCATGAGATTACATTGGTTTAACAAGTATAGGAATAAGTTCAGAGCAAGTAATCTAAGGTAGGCAGAGCAATTTATCAACTATAACAAGATTAAGTCAATTAGCTGGGCACAAGTATATCAGACCAATAAATAAAGAGTACAAAGAAGACAACCACACTTCTATAAAGATATTATTAATAAACTTACTATAGGAAATATGCATCCTGATTACACAACAAGGTTAATACTAGTCAAAAAAAAATTATTCGGCATACTGCCACTTGTGTAACATTTGGCAAAAAATACTACCACTCATATAACATTTGATAAAAAAAATGACATAAATAAATTGGCAACTACAAAAATTGATAATCAAAACTATTCATTAAAAATTCATCAAAAATTCATCAACTATTCATCTACTATTCGTCAACTATTTGTCAACTATATTTGTAACTATTCGTCAAAAATTCGTCGACCATTCATCAACCATTCGTCAACTATTCATCTACTATTTTTTTGTTAACTATTTATAAACCATTCGTCAACCATTCGTCAACCATTTGTCAATTATTCATCAAAACTATTCATTAAAAATTCATTAATAATTCATTAAATTA